AATAATGATTAATGAAAATTAAAAAGGACATACCTGTCAAACATCTTGTTGCCCTACATATAATATGTTTTATTAAAGTTATTGCAACATAGAAGTATGGTCAATAAAAGAATATACAGAACAAATGTACTTGTCTAGCTTTCTTTAAAGTATCTATGTGATTTATAAGAAATGAGCCCATCTGAAGCGCAAAGATATCGAATGTTTATTATTACGAATGTTTACCAGACGACATAAGCAAATGGTTTCAAACACGCAACGTGTCCATTTGCCACCAGTTTTATCTGGACAATGCACCGAGCATATTTTGGCATTGTGTTCTACCCTAGCTTTTAAAAAAGCTTCCAGAATTCTTTCCTTGAGTTATAAAAAATAATCATAAAAATATTTTCTTCCTTTAGTATGGCGCAATTTAAAATTAAAGCCCTTGGTGGATTGCTGCGATTGTTCTTTAGTTTCTAATGGCGACCTCTACTGAAATTCAGAAATTCGTTTTGACTGTAAACCTTAGAGCAGAAAATACCAATCACATTTGTATTTCAGGTCTAACCAGTATTTGTGTTAAATAAACTACATACTCAAATGCTGCTCTTTGTAGAACAAAAACAATATTGGTGGAACAATATTGGTGGTAAGGGTGGAAAAATATTATTGGTGGTAAGGGCCTCATCAGTGGCAATTCAGAAACGAACAATTAACGGAAACTGCTGCGCACAAGAATTAAGAAATAAATTATGGCAAAACATTATGGTTGAAGTGGATCCTAGCAGATTTTATGTTGTTATTTCTCATATTTTCTTACTACATTACATTGCTGTCTTTGAATAAACGGATATTACGTTATTGACCATTAAGATCACAGTAAAGTGGTGACACCAATACAAACTAGTGTCACTTGAGAATTGTATCTACTTATTCTATCAACATTATGGCCAGATCTGATGGCATATATTATTATTATAGATTATTGGCCTTCATTTATGTGTGAACTACCACTTATTTTAGTATTTAGATTATCGGCGTGGAGCTTGCTAAAAATCGATGACAACAAAAATTGAATAGCTCAACACAGCACCACTTTCATGAAAATTTGATGTTGTATTTTCCGTTTAAACGGTACAACTGTAATCCAGATGATGGTTGTGATGGTATTCCATACAAAAAGTTTAACAGCAATCTTTTGAAATTATCGATATTGGAAATAAAGAGTTTAGTTATATGGACTTGTAGCGCTAAAGCAACTTTTTTTTACCATCTTTGAAAAATTGTTTATGGCAGTGTATATATCCAGGAATATTTGTAAGATTTATTTTATTGGCTACGTTATATTGTTAACCCTATACTCGTTACCAGTTTTTAAACACTCACAGGTAGTTTGAACTATGTAGTCGTCGCGTCTGTCCGACAGTCAGTCCGTCAAGGTGATAGAGGCTACATTTTGGCGGTTCACTTTTAAATTTGGTGTAAAGCATTGTGGTCATGCGAGAAAAAAAAAACAATATCAATATTCAGCGTTTCCACGAGGGGTATCTCAAGCATATTTAGATACAAAAACATAGACATTAAAGATGTCGTAAATACCTTTAGGGGATACCTCTATCACATGTGGTGTCTATTTACCATGCCGTGAACTACCGTTGAATATATCGATAAAACACAATATAGAAAGTCATTAGGTTTATCAAACTGAGGGAGGGGAGGGGGCTAAAGTGCAGAAATATCTTCGCAATAGGATGCAGAAATACATTATTAGTCTAGAAAAGGACATACCTAAAAGACCCAACCTTTGTAACATGCACATAAACTATCACATAGATACTTTAACACCATGGAAAGTATGATGAAAGCATTTGTCGACGTCGCCTTTCCTAATAGTCTTACCTTTGTTATACTTTTGTAATAAAACCATGTTGCTTGTGGATTTAACTACTACCACACACTGTTTTCTTTTGCAATCGAGACCGAAAATTGATCAAGTTTGCTATAGGTAATGACGGATTTCGTGACCCTTAACAGGTAAACTTACACCTTCTAGATGTTAATCAGGTTTCATGTACCTTTGGTGGTCTTGGGTCTGTGGTTATCGTCTACAACTTCCAATATCTGTATATAAACCGTCGACCCAGGTGGCTATGAGGTGTGATTGATTTGTCTTGCATATAAATTACTAACACAGTTTTAGTATTCATTCTTATTTGGCGCCAAAACCAAGTCAATTAATGAACGGCTATAATTAATCACACGAACAGTGCAGATAAATTACATCTAAGGATAGACATAAAAGATTAATAAGAAAAGATAACCAAGACTGTTTATTTTTTATCAATGTGGGAATATGTCTCATAGGGCTAACCAAATAATACTCTATGTACTTGACTAATCATATAACTGTTTCTATTTACTTGTCCGAAATTGTCTGACCTACTTGAAAAAGTCATTTGTCGGCTATTTGTTTTGTCTTGCTCTAGGTGTGTGTTCAGGAGAGGAAAATTGGCACAATCTGACATATACACAGATAAATATCTTCAAAAGACTGTGTTAAATTAATTTTACATATCCTTTGTGAGTCACGATGGGTAAGACGTTGGTTCGCTAACTGGAGGTCCATCGTTCGATCCAGATGTTGGTGAGAGCGTTTATCGTGATTTTTCGGCGGGATTCCCCCTTGACAGTTGTGCAGGACGGAGGGCCTGACAAGAGACAGCGTAAAGTCGTTCGTATATGACGAACAACCGAGGTCCCCTGTACACATTTGCGTGCACGGAAAAGATCTTTTGACAGTTGAATTCGATATAAGAGTAGACTGTAGTGCTGCTGTCCGGGCAAAATTTCCCTCATAGCACATTATATGACGTATGCCTGTCTTCATTTGCCCAGTCGGATCAGAACAGTAGGGGGCTAAACCCAATTTCATTTCATTGTGTCCTTTGTTTAATTGGGTGACCGCGTGCGCGTTGAATCAGAAGGTCTGTCATAGTACGTGACACGGAGTAGGGTCACCTGTCCATCCTCGTGGGTTTTCTCCGTGTCCCTCCACTGCCAAAGACCCCCTATGCGTATGCGAATTATTTAAATAAAATTGAACCATATGCTAGTCCCGAAATGACCTAGTTTGCGTCGAGTGGACGTTAAACATCACCTCTCTCCCTCTCTGTGTGCTAGTGTGCTTTATACCCAAGTGCTCACCATAACCTTACTAACAATAGACATTCACTTTTCTAAAAATTAAAATGCAAAGTCGGTGTCCTGAATCTGAGATTATCTGTCCATCGTTTGAAAGACGGCAAAAAGATAATGCGCACAACTATCTAACCGTCTTTCTCCTGGTTATTTTTGTTAGTGTTTTAATATGAAAAACATGTGTTAAAGCGTGGGTGTGTGTGCGGGTGGGGGTCAAGTTGTATCAATGAGTAAGGTACTGGCTCACTGACCAGAATATCCTGTGGATTCAATCCCAGTGTTGTCCGAGAAAGCCCCTCTGATTTTCTAGCCAGTAATGAAAAAGGTGTCTTCTTGTTCAGATAGGACGGAATATCCAGATCCGGACTTTATTGGCCCGTTTGGTGCAATAGATCGTTAAACCCAATTTAATTTAGTTTAATTATAATTACGAATCTGTTTGCATGCTACTTCCAATTTGTTGTCTTCAAATCTTATTTGGTCAACACTACAAAAGACCAGTGTGGGCATATCAATTTTTGAAAAAGGAAAATCAACTGCTATTCGAATTGATCTAGTTTGTGTTGTGTAGATGTTACCCACCAACCCCTTTCTCTTTGATATCAACCTCCTATATATTTGAGGCATGACATTTTCAAATGTTTCTGATTCTTGAGTAGAATGTGATATAAAGGAACTGGTCAAACCAATTATTAAATGTAAATCTGTGAGATATTATTAATACTAAATAACATTGCCAATATCTTTCCCCATAAAAGTATTCTTGTGGACATCAAAGTAGGGAAATACCAATAAAACCAGTGTTATTCATCACGAGTCTAAAACGACATTAAACATTTTGGGATAATCAATTGTGTGGGATGACTTGAATAGCATAAATGCAGTTCTTTACGGAAATTAAAACGATTAACCGGAGCTGAATTGTATACATAACTTACACGTAATGCTTTATTCTACATTTACGGCGAATTCTTGAATACCAGAAATATCAAAGTTTTTTTTATTAGATATCACGTCTTTCATAATAGCACGATGCGAGATAACGAGATGGGGCAAATCAGCCACTGTACAAAATGTTAACTTCTTTTATCAGAGAAAAAACATTTCAAATTTACAAATTTAATTTTATATATTAACATTAAAGTTTTAAAGGTACCAAATTTCTTTGTTTATTTCGTAAAAAAAAGTCAGACCAGGTTATACTCGATTTCAAAAGAATTTGAAGGCCGCTGATCAGTAGCTGTTGTGTTGTTTGATTAATTGTAATTTAACGTCATTTAAACTACTTGTCTGGTATTATTCTCTAAGTGACATTAATTGGGTAGATAAATAAACTATAACACATACTTATGGAAAACAGCTACTGATTTATTGTATTAGTTTGATAACGTTGAGCGAATACTCTTCGAAACCTAGCCTAAATAAATCACTAATTGCTTTTCCATAAGTATATGTTATAGTTTATTTACTTGTCTGTTGTACATTTTATGTACATATAAACCCTGAAAATACACACTGACTCAAATTATGTATTAGCAAGGTTAAAAATGAACTATTTCATTAAAAGGACATACAACTTTTATGAGAGATAAAACGCTTTGCACTTTTTAACACTTGACATCTTCACGTGCGCGGTTACATAATCATGTGTTATAGTTTATTTATCTACCCAGTTAATGCCACTTAAAGAATAATACCAGACATGTAGTTTAAATGCATGTTTAATTACAATTAATCCAACACATACACATATTTGTACCCTCATTTTGAATTTGGGTATATAGATGCGCGTTACTCATAAAATGATTAAAATTACTTACCTGTAGGGTATTTATCCAATAGAAAAGCGAGTATACATTTTCTTCTCTTCTGATAGAAAGTGTTCATAGTGACGTAGACAGTAAACACAAATCAACAGACGAAAATAGTGTCTTAGATAATACGTAACTCAAGTTAGCAGTTCTCGACAGCTATATATATATATATATCAGCATATCGCTCTATGATATTTACTGAAGCCCAGCAGCCTTTTCTAATCGTTCACAGTTCTCTTGCGATTCTCTCAATACATACACAACTTCATCACAGCACATAATATATATAATAACTTGTGGTGTTTTGACATTTTCATACATGAATACACAATTCTTAAAACTCATCAGCGAACTGCCGAACTACCGAAAAAAAAACACTGAACCGTTTTATATCGAACGCCGCCTTATTCAGTAAGTTATATAACATTTATTTAAGATGAAAAACAATATCAACCTGTGTCATTAGTGCTCCACATTCAAATCGTAACAGCTCAATAACAAGCTTCCAGACTCTTTTTGAACCTTTCTTGTTTTGTATAATTGCGCTAATCTGTTTGTTCTGAAATACAAAAATAGCATTATTAGCAAATCAATTTCCTTAATTATTTACAATATTGATTCAGATGGCCCATTGGATGACCATGTGGGCAACGATGGTTGTGATAAGAAACTAAAAAGAATATTGTCAATTCCTCCGGAAAGTGTAATTTCATAGCATCAAAATGGATCGATTTATCAGAAATTATTATAAATGTATTTTTCTATGAATTTCATTCTTTTTTTTATAAATGGCACTTCTGAGAAGATTATGGCCTATTTTTCTAATGGTATTTTAGTGAGGTCAGTAGCTAATTACGTATACGGAGTCATTATACTTTAAAACTATTACTTTTAAGAGATTTTAATCGATTGTCGAATATTTAACATAAATCGACAGGAAAATATTTCCAGTTCTGGTATTGTTATACATACTTCCGAAAATAACTTGATATCTGTTTAGATGCATGAACAAAAGGTCATTAAATAAAGATACAGATTGTAAGGCCGCTGATCAGTAGCTGTTGTGTTGTTTGATTAATTGTAATTTAACGTGATTTAAACTACTTGTCTGGTATTATTCTCTAAGTGACATTAATTGGGTTTGATAAATAAACTATAACACATACTTATGGAAAACAGCTACTGATTTATTGTATTAGTTTGATAACGTTGAGCGAATACTCTTCGAAACCTAGCCTAAATAAATCACTAATTGCTTTTCCATAAGTATATGTTATAGTTTATTTACTTGTCTGTTGTACATTTTATGTACATATAAACTCTGAAAATACACACTGACTCAAATTATGTATTAGCAAGGTTAAAAATGAACTATTTCATTAAAGGGACATACAACTTTTATGAGAGATAAAACGCTTTGCACTTTTTAACACTTGACATCTTCACGTGCGCCGTTACATATAATGGCGCGAAATAATATAGCATAATGATTTAGCTCATTTGTATTTAAATATACTTATCTTTGCGAACAATAAATCTACGATCGTTATTCGAAGGATTTTGATTCTTTCTTAACTACAATACTGTTACACCCGAATCTCTAAAAGTAATATGAGTTCAAAATTGGGTCAGTTTCATTTAGTATTTAATTTTTTTAATGAATTGAACATTTCGCAACATAACACATCATCTGCAGACTATATAAACGCATTATATATATATAGTCTTTACTAAAATGTTTTGGTGGACCGCCTTTTTAATCTATCTAATTGATTATTCACTCAACGTTTTCAAGCTAATACGATAAACGAGTAGCTGTTTTTCCATAATTATGTGTTATAGTTATGTGTTATATTTATCTACCCAGTTAATGCCACTTAAAGAATAATACCAGACATGTAGTTTAAATGCATGTTTAATTACAATTAATCCAACACATACACATATTTGTACCCTCATTTTGAATTTGGGTATATAGATGCGCGTTACTAATAAAATTATTAAAATTACTTACCTGTAGGGTATTTATCCAATAGAAAAGCGAGTATACATTTTCTTCTCTTCTGATTGAAAGTGTTCATAGTGACGTAGACAGTAAACACAAATCAACAGACGAAAATAGTGTCTTAGATAATACGTAACTCAAGTTAGCAGTTCTCGACAGCTATATATATATATATATCAGCATATCGCTCTATGATATTTACTGAAGCCCAGCAGCCTTTTCTAATCGTTCACAGTTCTCTTGCGATTCTCTCAATACATACACAACTTCATCACAGCACATAATATATATAATAACTTGTGGTGTTTTGACATTTTCATACATGAATACACAATTCTTAAAACTCATCAGCGAACTGCCGAACTACCGAAAAAAAACACTGAACCGTTTTATATCGAACGCCGCCTTATTCAGTAAGTTATATAACATTTATTTAAGATGAAAAACAATATCAACCTGTGTCATTAGTGCTCCACATACAAATCGTAACAGCTCAATAACAAGCTTCCAGACTCTTTTTGAACCTTTCTTGTTTTGTATAATTGCGCTAATCTGTTTGTTCTGAAATACAAAAATAGCATTATTAGCAAATCAATTTCCTTAATTATTTACAATATTGATTCAGATGGCCCATTGGATGACCATGTGGGCAACGATGGTTGTGATAAGAAACTATAAAGAATATTGTCAATTCCTCCGGAAAGTGTAATTTCATAGCATCAAAATGGATCGATTTATCAGAAATTATTATAAATGTATTTTTCTATGAATTTCATTCTTTTTTTATAAATGGCACTTCTGAGAAGATTATGGCCTATTTTTCTAATGGTATTTTAGTGAGGTCAGTAGCTAATTACGTATGCGGGGTCATTATACTTTAAAACTATTACTTTTAAGAGATTTTAATCGATTGTCGAATATTTAACATAAATCGACAGGAAAATATTTCCAGTTCTGGTATTGTTATACATACTTCCGAAAATAACTTGATATCTGTTTAGATGCATGAACTAAAGGTCATTAAATAAAGATACAGATTGTAAGAAAACATCAGGACACTTATAAACATTTATACAGCTCTAAAAATTTATGCTCGATTAAACCTAATTTTTCACACTGATCAACAGTGAATTTTCGCTAGGCCGCTACAATCACTGATAAGGATGATATCGATGCGACTTAATGAGCCAGAAATATTAACATTTTTCCTGCGACAAATTAAATTCTACAACATTTTTTTTTGTATTAGAAAATAAATAAAAGCGTTTGACGTATTTGTAGGTAAAAATTATTTCCTATTTAGTGCAAATGGGTATTAAAATGAGTAAAAGTCTCCATTCTGCTAGAGCGTCTTATGTAAACAATGCACGCGCCATTGAGCCAATGATTTACGCCGCGTGATAAGGCGTCACGTGTTAAAGGTAGTCATTTTTTACAGAGATATTAGAAGACTTTCGTAATCCTCTGTGAAACAGATTGCTAATTTTTACTTCCCAAGTCGATAGTATTAAGGGTGTTTTATGTTTTAAATATTCCGTCGTCATTTACGTGTAAAGCGGGAATAGGTGTACGAGTGGTCTAAGGCTTTAGATTTTAATGTCTGTCATTGAGTCAAGTGGCATGGTTTCGATCACATGCTTTTAAGTGACGAGTAATAGGTTTTCTCCAGGTCCCCCGGTTTCCAACCACCTAATGAATTGACATTGACATAGTTTATAGACCGGGAGGCCAGGGGGTCAACCTAGCTGAAAAGTGTACCAATTTTCTCATATATATTATCAATGTATGTATATCTGGTATCATCAGAATGAAAGTCTGCCGGGTTTCTGGTGGTGGGTGTGGTATTCCACGCCCTAAATGCCATGACCCCAACTAGGCTAGATTAGCTCAAAAGTGTACCACACGAAATTCTTACTGCAGTGTACCGGACATCTTCAGGTATTACAAAAGCACTCTGACTGACATATCTAGTGGTGGGGTACCCCTGACAGAGCTATGTAATTGCCAGACATTTGTAGTGGTGGAGTATCCCTGACAAGAGTTATCTCAAATTTAGACCATAGCTAGGCTAGATTAGCTGAAATCTGTGCCACCTGAAACAGGTTTGGAGTTGTTCAGTACCACCACAGGAGTCATGAATGACCACTGCCAGACAGTTTGTGCGGTTGGTTACCCTAACAGACACGCCCCAAAATGCCACGCCCCCAACTAGGCTAGCTTCGCAGGCACTGTTCCCGTGTTCTACAAAATTAGATTTTTAGCCAGGATGCGTAGGATACTAATACCTAGCACGTATGGAAGAGGCGATAAACTGCGATTGCAAGAAATTGATTTTTGGGCAAAAAACATTTTATGGGGCTAAAAATGCGTTTCTGAAAAATAAAATTGTTCCTACAACCGCAGTTTATCGCCTCTTACATATGTGCTAGGTATTAGTATTCTACGCATCCTGGCACAATTTTCAATTTTTTGGACCACAGGAACAGTGCCGACTAATCTATCCTAGTTGGGGGTCGTGTTATTTTGGGCGTGTCTTTTAGGGGCAACCCACCGCACAAACTGTCTGGCAGTGGTCATTCATGATTCCTGTGGTGGTACTGAACAACTCCAAAGCTGTTTTAGGTGGTACAGATTTGAGCTAATCTTGCCTAGCTTTGGTCTGGAAATTAGATAACTCTTGTCAGGGATACTCCATCACTACAAATGTCTGGCAATTACATAGCTCTGTTAGGGGTATCCCACTACTAGAAATGTCTGTCAGAGTGTTTTTGTGATACCTGAAGAGGCACGGTACATTGCTGTGCGATTTGCATGTGGTACACTTTTCAGCTAATCTAGACTAGTTGGGGGGCATGGCATTTTGGGCGTGGAATACCACACCCACCACCAGAAACCCGGCAGACTTACATTCTGATGATACCAGATATACATACATTGATACCATATACGAGAAAATTGGTACACTTTTCAGCTAGGTTAACGCCCTGGGCTCCTGCTCTATTATGTCGAGTGGACGATAACCTCTTCAGGCGGGTGTCCTACGTGCATTGAAATAATGTCGAACAAAGAAATAACTTCCCAGAGTTTCTGATATCATCAAATTCTGGGGTAACCCCCCAGACCTCACGTCAATCTTGACGTTGTCTCAACCG